TTTTTTCCAAAGCTCTCCGCAACACGAGGATTCTCGTTGGAGAATCTACTGATCACGTTCACGTGATACGAAAGTGTGTTTTGAAAATTGGTCAGAGTTACGCAACGTGGCTGAGCGAATGACTTTGTTGTTAATCAGATTTCGTGTTATTTCGTTATCGATCGTTTAGAAACAACGACGAGGCTTTCGAGCAATTGAATGAGACTTTCAGACTTTTTTTCTTTTATTATCATATCGTAAATGTGTAATTTTTCTTTAAAATCCAGTGAAAATATAGTTGAATTTATAGTACTAGACTGTGCTACACTAACTATAATTTTTATTAAGTATCAGATTATTAACATCAAAATTAAACATCAATTGAACACAACAGATTTAAGAATAATTGAGATAATACTAAAAATCGTGAGATAAATAAATGATAATAAATAACAAATAGTATTATTATTAAAAATAAAAATCTAACGAAATCTTGTTGATTATTTTTTATTTATTTATCAGTGAAATTAATGTAAATTATTTCCGTACATAAATTACATAAGTTTTATTTAATTTATATTTTATCACACAAATCGTATCGTCAGTCGAATTATTTTTCTTAAATATACTCGACGACTTGACTAACATTGGTAACAACTATTTTGCTAATGAATATTTTTCTCGATTACTTTTCTTACCGTAACTAAATTGATATTTAATTTCATTCACTGACAGTCCAATATAAATTACAAAATAAAATTAAATCGCTCGATATTATCTCAATATTGCTCTTCGTACTATAAACACATTTAATCGAATTTCAACAAATTTCGATATTCTAGTAAACAAATTCACCATAGTTCAGTATCTTTCTGCTTAGAAAAGGAAGAAAGCAAACTACAAATCTATTCTTTCCTTGTGTATAACGATATTTATAAAAATATATATATATATATATATATACACGTATTATCTACTGTCACTTGTTGGCCTATCAGAACAGAACATCATAAAAATATCGTTTTTTTTTTCTTTTTTTTTTTGTTCTTCTCTGTTGTCACCGAGTTTTCACAGAAGTACGGCGACTAGAGTAGTGCAAGCATGCGATGAAGCATTGGGGCTGTTTGCTGCTGGTCCTAAATTACGTCGTACGTTAAATCGTAGAGTGTGTGTACACAGTCCTCAGAGTTTTTCTTCCCTTGCAGGGAAAAGCACAGCTTCGCCACGCGTGAGAAAGTTACTTTCGCATCAGTCTTTTCTTCGTGTGTGTCTACGTATGATATATATATATATATATTATGAAAATGCAGGGACAACGTCGTACGTGCAAATTACACGAACATTCCGAATAAAGAACTTTCTTCAAAGCTGCCTTTGGCGCGATTTGGTTTCTTAAACATGCAGCTCAGTTGTTAGAATTTTATAAAAAAAAAAAAACAAGCCGGATAGAAATATTTTCTCCGTCTTGTATATGTAAATATATTCACAAGTGGGGTCATTGAAATCCACTGTGAATTTATGAAAATCTTAATCCAAGATGAACTCGTTTAGAGAAAATTACCAAAGAAACGAATTAGAGAAAAGATTCGAACTCGACAGAAAAGAATAAACACGACACGAAGAAATCAAGAATTCCTCGCTCGTACGATTGAGAAAAATCAACAATCACTGAAATGACTGTAGATTCATCGCCCAACTCAACAGTTAGAACCCAACCAAAAAAAAAAATTACCAACAAGATAGAAGAGAAAAGCACGATACAGAAATTAATTTACTCCCTTTTATGTATTCGTAGAAGTCGAATTTATATATATATATATATATATATGAAAAGATAAATTGAAGGACACTCGTTTCTCGTGGTAACACACACGTTTTAATTAAATCAATCTGCCTCTTAAATGAAGAAGCTGATCCTCGCCGTGGCCTGTTCTATCTTCGATCTCATCAGTGGTATGGCGCTTTCTACACCTTCATTGATTTCGCCGGTTCTATCGGTAGACCATTCTCTAACATCGCAAGATTACACGTATTTCGGTGTAACCGCAAGACTTGCTGAACTCCCGATAGTTAAACGAGCCCTTCTCCGATGCTTCGTAACGAACGACGATAGCCAAAGATTAGACTGTGTTACCCGAAACACTGAAATGTGTAATCTTGCTACTGCATGAGAAACTTGGAAAGGGCAGCATCAAACTCTATGTCCAATACATGTACATATGTATTACCGAAAGGACGAAGAAGGCAATATATAAACGTAGTCGACAATTTGCCAGGGCAAATGCAAATTTCATGTGTGCTTTTCTTTCGTTCATTTTCGATTTTTCAACAAAATATCTTCTTCCGTTCGAACAAGAAAACGCACGATTTCTTGCTTCATTTTTGTTCAATTTAATGTTCAATTGAAATTTTGATTTCGTTGATTGAAAAAATAGAATCTCTAGAAACGTCTCGGACAATCTCTTTCCAACAAACGGCTTCGACGACTCAGGTTTTTTTTTTTTTTTTTTTCCTTTATAATGACCCGGACTTTTTTTTACCATTCCAACTTTGAACATCAGAGGATTACGTGATAAGATTTCCCAGTGAAATTCAAACGTCTCTAGAAATACTGGAAAATTCTATTCACGATTTCAAATTCATTATGAAGACTGTGAAAATTGAAGTTTCCCCCTTATTAACGACACTTCAAAACTATCGATTCTTTCTCTCTTTTTTTCATCATTTTACTCATTACGATGAAATGTTAACACATTAAGAACTTTAAGACTTTTCCATAAAAGAAAGTTGAGGATCTAGAAACAAGCATACAACTGCAAAAGTATACAACTCATAAATTAATTCTTTGAAGTAGTTCTTTTACAAATAAAAATTCAGTCAATCAAATCATCGATTTGAAACAAATGCTGCGAAAATCTCGTCGAACTAAAAATCTATCTCTGTCCTCATTGCACATTATTGTGTCTTTTGTCTACTGATGATGCTGCCGTCTGAACACTTTTTAACTTCGCCTATTAACTAACTGTTAACTAACTAACAGAGACAAAATCGCAGACGAGATGTATGAATGAATAGATCAAGCTTCGTGTCCCATGTTTCAAAATATCGACATAGTAAAAAAATCACTGGTTTTTTAGCACTTATGATTAAATAACGA